AGACTGCTGTCTCTCTTCCCCTATGGTTTCTGTTGTTCATTCCCCTGGAAGGGTGTGTGTGTGTCCTTTATTTGTGGATCAATTGGTTCCCCCCTCCTCCCCTCCCCTGTAGTTCATTCCCCTGGAAGGAGGGGGTGGTGGTGGTGGAGGTGGTGGGTGGTGGGGTGTGCTTTATTTGTGGATCAATTTTGTGTGTGTGTGTGTGTGCTTTATTTGTGGATCAATTGGTTCCCCCCTCCTCCCCTCCACATTTTTCCCCTAACCCCTTTACTACACAACTCTTAATAGGGACCTGCTGGATTTTTTCTTTGTTTGCCCCCCACCCCACCCCCCATTTGTGAATTACTTGCTTTATAGCTCAGATCGTCAAGTTTATGTTCAATTCATAAAGGCTTGGCTTCTACTGAGCATTGCAATCACATCTACTTCCTCCCTGTGTTTTCCTGTTTCCATTCTCTTAATCCTCTGTGCTTTGTCCTTGGGTAAATGCGCCCCTTTTTTAACTGACTGAAGCACATAGTCTTGGTGTTACCACCAGTCCCTATCCAACCTGTAAGCCTGGTCTTAATAACTGTGCCTTTTGTTCTATTTGTTGCTTCCACTCTGTCCTGGACCTTCTTTTTCAGACCAGGGAGTAGTGGTAGCTGGCACCATCCGGTCAAGGTTGTAGAGACCAATTGCAACCACGTGTCTGATTTATTTTTTTCATTACTCTTTTCTCCAGCTGGAGATATCCTTCATTTTTAATACTCCCAGTATTAAAATATTAATACTCCCAGTATTTACTAAAGACTTGTGTTCAGAAGGTGCAGTCTGTATTTATTAATATTTGAAGTTTAGTGATTAAGACAGTTTGTTCATTCAAAACAAACTGTTGCTGTATTAACACAACAGTGGACAGTGACAGTGGTGACTGCGCACACTTCGGGTGACTTAAGGCATGGAGGAAAGTGGCAGTCCTTAAGAATTATTTGAGGCACACAACAGCAAAACTTGGCTTGAATTAATTTTTCTCAACGGGTAGGTCTTCACCAATATCATACAGCAGGTGAATTTTGATCAGCAAAGGTAATCAATCTATTTTCCAATATATATTTTCCTAATTGGTAGAAATTACTTTGCTTCCTAGCCTGAGAATTATACCCCTGTAGTTGTCCAAGAGCAAGAGGAGACATTCTGGTCAGCCACACCCAGTGTTTGGCACTGAAACTTGGCCACCTGTGTTTCTCTTTGGATGTCTTAGATGAAGGGAAAAATTTTAAATGGGGTTTTAGAATCATTATCAGCAAAAAAAGTTGTCCTGAGTCATTCTTGTTGAAGTTTATTAAATTAAAAATGAAAATAAGTTTTTTTAGTGCTTCTAGTAATCATTTCTGCTGCAATAAAATTTGAAATTTTATGTCATGAGATGGGGTTGGAAATGTACTAAACATGTGCAATGACTCTCATGAAAGTGATGTCTAGTCTTGCAGATCAACAAGGATGATATAACTGCCCTGCACTGTAAAGTGGTATGCCTCATCCAGAATGGAAGTTTCAAAGAAGCCTTGAATGTCATCAACACTCACACCAAAGTGTTGGCCAAGTGAGTGATTTACATGTTTGTTCACTTACTATTAGAAACCCTCTGACTCTTGCACCACAATTCATTCATTTCCTTCCCTTACTTTGCCTGACAAAGTATTTCTGAAATTGGAAGGAGCAATTGATTTTTGTGTCCTCCTTTAGCTTTCAGGAGCCTTTTTTAATTCCCATCTGCCTTTTAAGGAGGCCCTGGTGGCATTGTGGGTTAAGCACTGATAACTGAAAGGCTTGGGAATTCAGATCCATCAGCTGCTCTGTCTATTCCTATAAAGTATTGCAGGTCTCTGTTCTGTAGGGCTGATACCATTACTCAAGGCCTTGAGCTTGTTTTCTGTCTATTGCCTTGAACCCTTCAGCAGGAGTGAGGCTGTTGAGGGATGCCGGGCATAAATGTACCAGGGGTCCTTGGAGGTCAGGGAGAATAACTTGGCAAACATTTATTTATTTTAATCATTTTATTGGGGGCTCTTACAGCACTTATAACAATCCATAAATCCATTGTGTCAAGCACATTTGAATATATGTTGCCATCATAGTTTTCAAAACATTTTCTTTCTACTTGAGCTCTTGGTATCAACTCCTCAAATGTTTTTCCTCCCTCCCCCTTAGTTTTTTAAAAAAGGGAGTTGGCAGAGCATGTAGAGTTGGTGTGTAAGTGGTTGTATAAAAGTAGGTAGAGGTCTCCGGGGTAGTTGAGAATTTTGGCCTAACCTCTGCCTTCTGCCATTGAGAATTATTTAGGTGACCATGGTCTGTGGCTAAGATCTTCCAGTGTCAAGAATTATTTTGTAGTTTTCTGAGCATATGACTGGTTCCCCCACCCTGTTGTTAACCTTTTTTTTAAAAAGGTTAGTTTTTTTCCTTTGTAAAATGTATTTTGAAGTGAAGTTTTGCAGTATATTTAATGTGATGGTTTATAAGGAGTAGAACTGCCATATAAAAGGAGGAGGTTATGAGAATTTTTATCTATATTTGCAAAAACACACGCTAGAAGGAGAAACAATACAAATAGTCACTTGTCAGAGGTAAGAGGAAATGATAAATTTGGATTATACTGGGAGCAGATTCTTAGTGAATACTATTTTGTTTTTGTATTTGAATCATAAATATATTACAAGTTGAAAACCAATTTTTATACTATTTCCTAAAAATAGAACAGTAAATAAATGGGACTTTGCTTTCTATTAAATTTTTACCCTAAAATTTAATATGTAGGAAATACTGGTCATTTTACGACACAGGAAAATTTTTAAATGTTTTTTGTCCACTGCCATTGAGTGGCATCCGACTTTCAGTGAGCAACCCACTGTCGGGCAGAGTAGAACTGCTTCATAAATGTGTGAGCGCCTCAATCTTTACGGCATGGGAGGCCTCATCTTCCTCCCTCCGAGCAGCAGTAGGTTACACTATTGGACTTGTGATTGGCAGCCCAGTGCTTGACCCACTGCACCACTAGAGTTCCTTAATGTTTCTTAGAGAAGTCAGTAAAGGCTTTTGCCATTTTCTTCCTCTCAAGTTATGTTCAAAGAGACCTTTCTGGTATAAATATTAAAATAAATGACTTCTTAAATCTATGAATGTCAGCAGTTCTGTGTTTACTAGCTGTTCGGTTAGGCAGGTTGACAACGTTCCTAAGATATTTTGTTTTTCTTTGCTAATCATTTGCTTCTTGAGCAAATGAAAAGAAACCTTAATGAGTTAAGTGAGTGATTGATATATATATTAAGATGATTGATATATATATTAACTCCCAATTAATAATAAGTTTTTTAGAAAATCAAAGTAATCCACTTAAAATAGTGTTCTGATTGTCTTTGTTACTAAGAAAATTTATTATATAAATAATTCATACTTTTATTTTTAAATGTCAGTTTCTAGAAACCAATAATTTGAATAAGAATATGCACGCAGGCATGTGCAAGACTGGGGAAATGGGAATAATACCATTTAAAGCAACTAACTGGCAATGTGACTTTGGGGCATGGCAGTAACATTTTTGAGCTTCCTCATCTGTTGTTATATTAAATGAATACTATTGATCAGGTGCTTAGAACAATGTCTGGCATTAGCGAGTGTTCTGCAGTAATAGCTTCTAATCAAATATCTGTTTTAATTTTTCAGTAATTCTCTTTCCTTTGAGAAGGCATATTGCGAGTACAGGCTGAACAGAATCGAGAATGCCTTGAAGACAATAGAAGGTGCTACCCAGCAGACAGACAAACTAAAGGAGCTGTATGGACAAGTGGTAATTGCTGCTTTCAAATACCTGTCGATCATCTTCCTGAATGAGCGTGGCTGTACCTAGCAGGGAGCAGGGGTGCTCCACAAAACTGACCATCAAAGCAGTTTCTTGAAGTTTGAGCCTATCACCTTGTGTTGAACTTCATACAAACCATCGTGTATAGTTAGTGCTCTGTGAACAAATGACTTCCCCGGGGCCGTTTGTTCCCTAGGATAGTTTGGACTTTTTAGTTGGAAAGATGAAAACCAGTAAGCCTAGATAGTAAGTAAGATTAAATATAGTGAAGTTTTCAGAAATATTAAACGCTTCTGTTAACACCTGATCTTGTCTTTGTTTGCCTAAGGACAATTAACATTTTGTGCTACTACTTTTTATAGGCAAGCTTAGGTATTTATGCAGGATTGCATTCTTTTCATTTATTTATTTATTTATTTTAGCAGGGTTGCGTTCTGTAGAAAAGTTTTCTTAGACACTTAATTTCAAGAAAGTGGGTAAGAAAAAAAATATTTTCCTATACCAATAATTGGTATATTCTTTACCAATTCATATAGTTGTGATTCAAATACTCTTTTGTAAATATTAGTAGCACACAGAACTAAAAAAAAATTAGGAAGAAAAATACATTTGCTTGTCTTCAGTTATGCCGAGTTAAGTTCACATTTAGCAGTTCAAGCAAGGGTTTGTATGGTGTTGCAGTCTTAACACCAACTTCTCTTCTGATTGTTTGCACTTGTTCTCTGCCCCATCAGCTGTACCGGTTGGAACGCTATGATGAATGTTTAGCGGTGTACAGAGATCTTGTCCGAAACTCCCAAGATGACTATGATGAGGAAAGAAAAACCAACCTTTCTGCAGTTGTTGCAGCTCAAAGTAATTGGGAAAAAGTGGTTCCAGTGAGTAACCTGATGTACTGCTAGAGCCATGAACTATTACGCCTGTGTAGTGTGTGACTGGTATTTTGCTCCCTGGCAGGACAACCTGGGCCTCCAAGAAGGCACATATGAATTGTGCTACAATGCTGCATGCGCTCTGATTGGACAGGGCCAACTGAACCAGGCCATGAAGATCCTACAAAAAGCCGAAGGTTGGAAGCTTAAAAAAATTTATGTGTGCAAAAATTAGCATCTTACCTAAGTTTGCAGTGTATCGCCACAGTTGCACTTTTTTTTTGTGGAGTTATTAAATGAAGGTGATGAATGCAGTGAGAATTTCTCAAATATCCTCTGCCCTTTCTCTTGTTTTGTTTTTTTTTTGACACTATTTCTTCAATATTTTTCTGAACCCTAAACCAACCTACTTGTTCATTTTCAGTTGTGCCAGGCCTTAAACTTAGAATTTTGAGGCGTAGGTGTTTTTTTAAAAAAATACTTTTATTTGGGGCTCTTACATCTCTTACCACAATCCATACATTTCTCCAGTGTGTCAAGTACATTTACACATAAGCCGCCATCATAATTTTCAAAGCATTCTCTTTCCACTTGAGCCCCTGATATCAACTCCCCATTTCTCCCCCCCCCACCTACCCTCCCTCATGAGCCCTTGATAAGTTATAAATTATTTTTTCCATAATTAAAAAAAAATTTTTTAGGCATAGGTTTTTGAGCAAGTTAATATGAATGTTAAATGTAAATTTTTTTTCCACTCCCCTCCCCTCCCCCCGTTAAATATAAATTATATGAGTTTTTATTCAAGCACTTAATATGTCATAAACAATGATAGTCAATAGTCATAAAAAGTTAGAACTATGCATATACAACTTTTGTACACTGACAGCACCAGTCAGGCACATTTGCATTTCATTTAATATGTCCCTATAATTACACTTGATCTTAGCCAAAAGGCCGAGAAGCAATAATATGTCCTTATAGTTACATGCTTTGAAGTCTTTAGGGGAAAAAAATTTTTTTAGAGCACTTAAGTCTGCTCTCAATTCCTGAAATATGCAGGCCTTTCTGCATCACTTTTCCTTGTTGTAAGGAAATGCAGTGAAGTGCTGGACATAAAAAGCTGAAACTGGGTGTTCTGCTGTTAAATGTTGAGAGGGCATCATTAAGAAATAACAATGGGGCGAATCCAGGGCGGATGATCCCTTCAGGACCAGTGGTGAGAGTGAAGATGCCGGGAGGGTGGAGCGAAGGTGGGGTGGAAAGGGGGAACCGACTACAAGGATCTACATATAACCTCCTCCCTGGGGAACGGACAACAGAAAAGTGGGTGAGGGGAGACGCCGGACAGTGCAAGAGATGACAAAATAATAATTTATAAATTATCAAGGGTTCATGAGGGAGGGGAGAGCAGGAGGGTGGGTAAAATTATGAGGAGCTGATACCAAGGGCTTAAGTGGAGAGCAAATGTTTTGAAAATCATGAGGGCATTGAATGTACAAATGTGCTTTACACAATTGATGTATGTATGGATTGTGATGAGTTGTATGAGTCCCTAATAAAATGATTTAAAAAAACAACAACAAAAAAACCGGAACTGATTACAAGGATCTACATATAACCTCCTCCTTGGGGGATGGACAACAGAAAAGTGGGTGAAGGGAGACGTCAGACAGTAAGATAAAACAAAATAATTTATAAATTATCAAGGGTTCATGAGGGAGGAGTGAGCAGGGAGGGAGGGAAAAAAAATGAGCTGATATCAAGGGCTCAACTACAAAGCAAATGTTTTGAGAATGATGATGGCAACAAATATACAAATGTGCTTGACACTATGGATGTAAGTATGTGATAATAGTTTATGAACCCCCAATAAAATGATTAAAAAAAGAACAACAGTTGTTTAAGACCCATCACTTCCTGATCACACCAGGTATTGGTAGTGGTATGGGGAAAGGTCATTCTACATTGCCGTTCAAGGAATCCTTGTAGACTGAGTTGCGTTGCTAACTTCAAACCCACCAGCTGCTCTGCAGGACAAAGAGGAGACTTCTTTCCCATAAATGTTTACAGCCCTGGACACCTCACAGGGCAAATCTACTCTGTCGTAGGTTGGTTGCCGAGGGTGGGAATGGACTGGATGACAGCGAGCTCCACTGCTGCTGGAGGATAGTCAGGCAGACTTAACTTGGCAATGGACTTTGTGTAGCAAATTTTCAAATTTGTTAGTTTCTTCAGTTAGTAATTCCAGTTCTAGGAATTCATCTTAAGGGAGTATTAGATAAATTTATGTATAGATCTATAACTATATAAGTGTTTATTTAAAGATGTTCATTACAAAAATTTTTAGAAGTATCCTGAATTTCCATCATCATAGTTTTGCTACATTTTACTGCAATCACAAAATAGATAACCATGCAATCATTAAAACTAATAATGTAGGTCTATGCTTATTACAATACAGAGATATCCAGAGCAAATAAATTGGGGAAAGGAGTCTTCAAAGTACTGTGTATAATATTCCACTCTCATTTAAAAATACATCTGCATTTACTTAAAAAGTCGACTGACTTACTATATGTTAGCAGTGGTTATCTCTAGGTGCGGTTAGGGTGTTTTTACCCTTTTCTATGGCAGTTGACAATAAACCAGACCTTGTATTTATAATTTTTTTTTTCACATTTATAACTTTTTAGAATTCTGTTCTTTTTTTTTTTAATCGTTTTATTGGGGGTTTGTACAACTCATCACAATCCATACATAGATCTATTGTGTCAACCACATTTGTACATTTGTTGCCATCATTAAGTTCCTCTTAAAATACTTTTTACAGGGTTGAGACTACAAATGAAGGAAGAACAAACTAGAATAAGCGACTGGTGATGCTTTTGTAGTGTATTTGATGTTAATTATACATTTCTGATTTGCTTGTCATTAAGATTATTTTAGAATCTTCTGCCCGAGGATTAAATTGTGAAAGGGAATGGCAATTACCAGTAATGTTAATTTTAAAACAATTCTTCTCCTCTAGATCTTTGCCGCCGTTCACTGTCAGAAGACTCTGTAAGTAGTTCATGGTTGGTAAACCCCAAATTCGCACTGTAATAGAAATTACCAGTAATAGCAACCTTCCCTGTAGTATTTGATGGCTTGTAATACATGGTGTTTCCCTAAAGAGAAATCAAAGTAAAAGCTCTTTTGCTCAGTTAACTGATCTATTTAGTTGAGAAATCACGATACAAACTAGTTAACATTCTTAGACACTTTACTTTCAATTTTTATAAACACAGATTCATGCTCCACATTTAGAATGTCTTTGAGTATGATTCTGCTCATAGGAATTTCATATAAGATTCCTACATAAACTATACATACTCTAACATGCTTTCTAGTTTGGTTTTTGTTGAAGTAGATTATTATGTTAAAGCTATGGGTGGTTTTATTACAAAGTCTTTGTAAATACAAACATCAGATATTTTCCCATTTTCTGGCTAGTACCTAATTAAATAGTAATTTTCATTAAACACTTTATTTTTTAAAAAGATTTTGTCAAGTCTTTATGAGTATTCATTATGAGTTTGATTGAAATAGGTCTTTTCACCTGTCTTGTTCTTTTCTAGCTGTAATATTTAAATTTTGTAATTTCTGTACCAAACACGATTGGTATGAATTGATTTAGAAATACTCATTTCTTTACTCTTAGTCAGCATGCTCTCAACAGGTGAGAGAGCTGGAGTGCTTTCTGGTGCAAGAATAATACCTTCTAGCGTTTAGCTTTCATTGTACCGTGGACACCAGTCAGCTTTTCTGGAAAGAGTGGAGAATGTACGTTAGTCTGCGAGTTAGTTAAGAGAGCCTCTGCTTTAGTGACAGCTTCCAGCTTTCAAATTTCTTGTGCAGTAGTAGTTAGAACCTTCTGCTTTTAGAATTTGGTAGAATTGAGAGCAAAACACTTTTCAAATATGTTCTTATAAGAAAATTATTTTTCAAACATTTCAGAATATAATTGTATAAAGCTAAACTTGTTTGCTTTTATTTTAGATTTTAAAAAAGCACTTCTTGGGTTTTTTAATGATTGATAAAAAGTATTTCTGAGTTTGTTGACGCGTTCTTCCAGAATCTGTCTTTTGCCATTCTCGGTTAAAACAGTTCTGTTTGGAGGACAGGTCCCGTATTAGAGAATGAACTCTAAGGGAAAATTCTTGGTTGTCTTAATGTTGCTTGTTTGTCTTACACACAAGTAGATTAGTTGGGAACTGTGCGCAGCGTTTTGGAGAATTTACAGAAAAAACGTTTGTTCTCCATTTAGGATGGGACCGAGGAAGACTCACAGGCAGAACTGGCCATCATTCATGGTCAGATGGCCTATATTCTGCAGCTTCAGGGTCGTACAGAGGAGGCACTGCAACTTTACAATCAGATAATAAAACTAAAGTATGTTTATTAAAATCAAATGCTTTTATTGAGAGATTCCTTTGAACGGTTTGTGCCTTTTTTAACCAATATTTGTTGTTCACAGGCCAACAGATGTGGGATTGCTAGCTGTAATTGCAAATAACATCATTACCATTAACAAGGTATGGACTATCCGTGGCTTCCTCCACTGCTGGCAGATTAAACTCAATTCTGCCCTTTGTTGGGTCATTTTCTATGACAGTGAAAGTCCATTTGTAGCAAAATCATTAAGATCCTCATGATAGTTCTAGGAAATATTCAAATAATTTAAGTAATACAACCTCTTGGTAGTTGTAGATCCTTTAAATCCTTTTCTTCCCCCAGTTTATTGATTTTCTTCTTTCAGTTATTTGTATAACAGAGAATCTGTTCATTAGAGATAAAAATGTACTTGAATCAAATTCTGTGCATGTTTGCAAGTTGCAGATGATTTCTCACCTAGTGCAGAAATGCAAGCTTTTCTTTCCAGTGGGTTTTTTTTTTCTTTTTTTTATATTTTTTTAGATCGTTTTATTAGGGGTTCATACAACTCTTATCACAATCCATATGTACATCAATTGTGTAAAGCACATTTTTACATTCATTGCCCTCATCATTCTCATCTAGTGGTTATTTTTGAAGTACAGTTAGGATCATTGTTCTTGTTGTCACTCTTTCTGGTGGTAAAATATTTCAAGTATGTATGCAGGCAATCTTAATTTTAAAATAATGTTACTAATCAGATTGATCACTATTTGAAACATTTTGTTTCATGGAAAAATGTCATGTTGAGAGTGAACTCTGAGTCAGTTGGAAACACGAACGGGATCCCGTCATTCACATTTGGGTTCTCTGGGTGTACCGATTGATTTTTCCGTCGTGTTTTAATTCTTGGTAATCCTTTTAGATGCCAGTACTTGCCTTGGAATTGTAGCAAAGTGGAATAATTTGTATAAGGTCATAGGCAGCGAAGGATAGAACTCGGATTCCGACCTGCTCCTTGATACCCCTCTCCTCCTAGAGCAGGACAGCATGGGTCTGCACAGGTGAAGTGATGGCAGGAAGAAGGAATTGCGAGCCACTGGCAGGTGTAGGTTCCAAAGTTCATAGACCTGCCTGTGCATGTGGCCGGGCTTCAGAGCCGTGCAGAGGTTTTCAGCGACTTCTTCCTTCGAAGTGGGGAGCTAAAATTCCGCCTAATGTTGGAATAAAAAGTAGGCATGTTAATTTTTTTTCTGTGTATTTTATTACTCCAATACTTGATGAAAGATATACTCTCAGCTTGGCAAATTTGAGCCAATTTGAAATCTAAGCAACAGCATAAGCAAATGTACATGTGAAGATATATTTATGAGTGGTAGGGGGAGAGTGAACAACAGATTAGAGGATATATACGTGTTGGCTAGTAAAAAAAAAAAGTCCAGGAGAGTCTTGAAAATAAAATTTTTGAACAATAAAGTACCATGATAGCAAAGTTGAAGAAATTCAAGCATGTGTGTTTGTATGTGGGAGCTTCAAAAAGTTTGTGGAAAAATACATTATCTTTTAATTCCATTTTTCTGTATGAACTTTTTTGAATGTCCCTTGAATACATACACACATAGTGGTAAATTTTAATTAAAGATATTTTGTTCAAGTCTGTCAAAAAACCGCGAAACAACCCTGGTGGGGAGGGAGAGAAAAGGGAGGAACTGATAAAGTTGGTTGGCTCAAGTAGAGAGTAAATGTTTATAGGATGGTGATGGCAACATATGTGTAAGTGTGCTTGATACAGTTGATGTGTGGATTGTTGTAAGAGCTGTGGGAGCCCCTAGTGAAAAGATTTAAAAGAAAAAAACTAGCAAAGACCCTAATATAAACATTTAATGTATCTTAAAGGAGAACGAAGCACCCCATCCAGGTAGATATATGCTTGTCCAAGCGCTTTTGTCTCATGTTTGTGTGGAATAATGAAATGAAGACATAATGAGGCTGTGATGCACTAACAAAGTTAATATCTGAGATTTGTTAATTGTGGGTGAAATTTGCTCTTCTTTATCAGGACCAAAATGTCTTTGACTCCAAGAAGAAGGTGAAATTAACCAATGCAGAAGGAGTAGAGTTTAAACTTTCCAAGAAACAACTGCAAGCTATAGAATTTAACAAAGCTTTACTTGCCATGTACACAAACCAGGTAGGTCAGAGACCTTGGGTTCCTGGGCTAACCCTTTAAGAACTTGGCGTATGAGTCTCATCTACTTTTATTTGTAATATGTCCTTTGCTTTAAACATGTGTTTGCATGTCCTTGAGAATGCCATATAACCGATTTTGCTAAGCAAGCAATTTGCCTAACTCTTTGTAAAGACGTGGGGCAGATTTAAGAGGGAGGACATAGAATTAAGTCATCCCTTTACCTTAAATGATTTTCTCACCACCTGATTTCAGATCTCTGATTTAAACAAAATTAAGGTAGCAGTGATATTGAGCATGATTATAGATTTAAGATTCATCTTGCGTAAATCACGTCCATTTACCAATATTGGATAAATCCTATTTTAATATGCATTCTAATAACATTCTGACTTCATGGTTTTATAGAGCAGAGGTTTCTGGGAGAGTGAGAGGCAGTAATATTTTATGCAGAACTGAGTCGTTATTCAATATGATAATGAGATACATGTGCATTTAGGTGAAAATAAAATATTTTGTTTGAAAGCAGATGGTTACTTTGGAATTAATTAAGCACATAAATGAATGTTTAGTCAAACTTGTCCTTTATTAAATAATTCTAGAACTCATCAGTAAGCAGGAATTTTTTTTTATAGGGAAATTGGCAATAGACTCTATAAACTACTTTTATCCTAGTTAGTTCGTCAGTTGTTATTTTTAAAAACGGGTTTCTTCTTACTGCCTCCTTCATCTGTCTTGTCTTTCATTTTGTCATTTACTGTTTAACTAACTAACTTATTTTGGGGGGGGGTTGTCTTTTAGGCAGAACAATGCCGCAAAATATCCTCCAGTTTACAGTCCCAAAGTCCTGAGCATCTCCTGCCTGTCTTAATCCAAGCTGCCCAGCTGTGCCGTGAAAAGCAACATGTGAAAGCAATAGAGCTGCTTCAGGTAAAGGAATTAGTTGAATTTTTAACGAAGAAACTGTTAGGCAGTTGCAGCCAGCTTCATGTTCACTATGCTGCAATAACCACGCCTTTGACGGGAAAACTAAACCCCTTACAGATTCTAAAGTGCCGCTTGCTTTAGTTCAGTGGTTTTCAGCCTCCTTTCACAGGGGTCGCCTGATTTGTAACAGTAGCAAAATGACAGTGATGAAGTAGCAACGAAAATAATTTTATGGTTGGGGGGTCACCACAACATGAGGAACTGTATTGAAGGGTCGAGGCATGAGGAAGGCATGAGAACCACTGCTTTAGTTCATTCTTGGATTAGAGGTTTGCTGTTTTATGGAAGTATGTATTTTGCGAATGTTTTCAACAAAACCAGACAAATGCTTGTACTTGACAAAACTTGAGGCTGAGTTTCTGGTTTGTCTCCAGTGTGTCATTCTGGAGCATGGTTACTTTTTTTAAAAAAAATCATTTTATTAGAGGCTCATACAACTCTTATCACTATCCATACATATATCACTTGTGTAAAGCGCATTTGCACATTCATTGCCCTCATCATTCTCAAAACATTTGCTCTCCCCTTAAGCCCCTGGCATAAGCTCCTCACTTTTTCCCCTTCCTCTCCGCTCCCCCTTCCCTCATGAGCCCTTGATAATTTATAAATTATTATTTTGTCTAATTTGCCCTGTCCGACGTCTCCCTTCACCCACTTTTCTGTTGTCTGTCCCCCAGGGAGGAAGTTATATGTTGGTTACTTCTTTTTAATAATGTCAACCTGTAAGCCCCCCTCCAAATTTCCAAACCATTATGGAGAAACTGATTTGTTCATCAAAGCAGATCAGCAGTTAGACTACACATTTGATTTTCTTGAGATAGTTGAGAAGTAGGACAAGATAAAATTAAGACCATCCTAAGGGGCCATGTTAACTTAGCAAAGACTCATCAGTGAAGAGGTGTCATTTATAGGATTGTCTTTCTTTAAAAAAAGAAACTCGAATTCTTTGTATTATCCTCATTAGTACTTCCCTACTATTGAAAATTTATAACACAGTAGGTATTAAACTTTTATTGAAGTTAAAATTTTGGTCTAAAACCAGAAACTTTATCTGTTACTGCTAGGTTTAAGTTTTTAGACGGCGGAGATCAGTAATTGTTATGTATACAGTTGGTTGGGTCAATTAAATGTGATTTTCTTTTCCCCTCAACTAAAATATTTTAGGAATTTTCGGATCAGCATCCAGAAAATGCAGCCAAGATTAAGCTGACCATGGCACAACTGAAAATTTCCCAAGGTATTGCGGCTAGTGTTTAGCATTATTCCAAGGCAATTTAAAGAGAAATGTGATGTAGTGATTCTGAAGTGGTTGTGAACTTAGATTTGTATATTTTTGTGTATTGGGTGAAGCATTAGTTTTCTTTCATTTGTGAAGCTAGGTTGTGAGTGACCTTAGATTTGATAGTGGGGAGTGATTTTCCACCTAAGCCTGTTTCAACCTAATCCTCTGTTTCAGAAGACTACGCATAGTCATCTAGCCTAGGTAGGTCATGTGTAAACATGCTTCTGTGTAAAACGAGGGCTGGCTCTGCATCTCAAGGAGCCCTGGTGGTAGAGTTGGTTGAGTTGGGCTCAAGGTCAGCAGGTTGAACACACCTGATGCTCCAAGGAGGCTGAAGATTTACTGTCTCCTAAAACCCAGCGGGGCAACTCTACTCTGTTGCTATGGTTTGGAATTAGCTTGAGGTCAGTGGATTTGATTTGGTTTTATATTCTAGTTTTCAGGATTTCTTCCCTTTTATTCTTCACTTGAGGAGGCCTGGTGGTTGCAATTTGGACTGCTAACCTCAAGGTCAGCAGTTCAAAATCACAAGCTGTTTCTCAGGAGAAAAATGGGGCTTTCTACCCTCATAGAGAATTAAGTCTCTGAAATTCGCAGGGGCAGTCTGACCTTGTCCTACAGGGTTGCTATGAGCCATCATCGACTTGATGGCAGTGAGTTTGGCTTTTGGTATTCTTCATTTATATTTCATTAACTGTTTGTTTGAGGGGGAAAGACTAGGGGATTTAATGAGAACTGGCATTTTGAACCAACATGAGCTGTGTCTTCCAGTGTGGTAGCTACTGCTGACATGTAGCTATTTTAATCTTAATTAAGAAGAAAATGTAAAGTTCCTCAGCTGCACTAGTCACGTTTCAGAAACCTAGTTAACGGCATGTAACTAGTGACTACAGTGTTAACAGTGCAGATACAGGATGCTTCCATCATCAGCCCTGGCATAGACCATACATTCTGAATAGGGCCAGTAATTTGGTTTTGGAGGAAATGGGAAAAAAGAGAGAGAGAGAGAGACCTGTGACCTCCTAGGGCCACAGTATATGAAACAGATGTGTCCTTTCTCTTTGATAGTAAATTTTAAATGACATTGATGTGGTGGGGGCTGGCAGTTAAGAAAGAGGTCTGTAAAGACTTCTTACTGTTAAGTGCCATCAAGTCGATTCTAATCCAGAGAATAAAACACTATCCAGTCCTGGCCCATCTTCACGATTGTTCTGTTTGAACCCATTGTGGTAGCCTTTGTTACTCAGTCCATCTCGTCAAGAGCCTTACTCTTTCACTGACCCTCGACTTTTACCAAGCATGATGTCCCTTTTCCAGGGACTGGTCTCTCCTGACAACGTGTCCAAAGTACATGAGACAAGGCCCCACTCCGCACTTCCAAGGAGCATTCTGGGTGCACGTCTTTCAGGACAGATGTGTCTTAGTGGGGGGCACAGTATAAACAAAGATTACATTAGAAATACGGCTAGTCTCCCAGGCCTGGCATTCTCCCGTTTCCTCACTCTGGCCTGTCTTTTGTTTCCTCACCCTTCCTTTGCTTGCTCTCCCTCGTAGCCGCTCTTCCCTCATCTGGTTTCAGTTTACTTTCCCAAGGAATATTGTGCCGAAATGACTAGAAAAGAGCCTGTCATTTGTTCGGTTTTAGTTTGCCTTTCAGAGACTTTTGAAGGTTTGTTACATTATTGAAGTTTACAATGAGTGGGAATTCAGAATTTAACTCCATAGTAAACGTTCCATTGTACTAGTGTCTACAGTGCTGATCCCCCAAGGTGTTTACAGGAAGACCCCTATGGTAATAATTGCTTTTAGTAGAAAAATACCAGACTAGTTCTAAGGAGTTGGAAATTAAGAGCTGTCCTAACGTTTCAACTCTTACAGGATACTATTCTGCTTCATTCACTCCTAGGTTCCTATGCCCTCATGTCCCAGAGTTCTGTGATTCCTTGCAATGTGCCACAGAAACTCATGAAATTTTGAGGAAATGTCACGTGATTGTGGGTGATGTTCAATCCCAAATCTGAAGGTCAGGCAGAGTCAAGTCAAATGCAGGGGCCGGACCAGAATTGCCCCAAAGTCACAGCAAGTCGTCTTGGCTTCTCCCAAAACGCAGTCAGGACAAAGAGTTGTGGCTTTCCAAGTGATGTGGGTTAGAACTATACAGTGGCACCAACCCTGATGCCCATCCAGGGATAACAAAGGATGGTGTCTTCAATTACTCCCTCTAGGAAAGTAATCTTACAGATATCCCCAAGGAAACAAAGGTCATGGCTTGGTTCAAACTGTCTACTAAAGGCAGGTTGTAATAGCAGATCTTGTCCCTTAGAATAGCAGAGAACATGGGACTGTAGCCACAGTGTGGAGTCCAGAATGAGACTAGACCCCAGGAGGAGCTCTGGCTAGAGGGCCATGCTGACCGACTACAGTGCATCCACACCTTCGGGTTAAGTCTGCAGAAGGGAAAGTGAGCTCGGCAGACCGCGAGTTGAAGTTTGCTCTGGCGGTAGTTCTGCCGTTAGCTTTCTTTGTGACGGAAGTTACGCACGCATGTTTCTCTTTGGAACCCTGTAAAAAGAATGAACAGAGCATAGCTTGAATATTAGCGGTATTACAAGATGGTGTTTGTTTGCTTTCCTAAGTAGTGAGGCAGAAGTAGGGAATTCCTTGTATTTTTTTTTCATAATATACTTTCTTCAATGAAATGCTGAATTTGTTTTTATTTTCTTAAGGAAATATTTCCAAAGCATGTCTAATATTGAGAAGCATAGAGGAGTTAAAGCATAAACCAGGCATGGTGAGTTTGTAACGAAAATATTACAAGCCTTAAAAAGGAGTGGGAGTGATAGATCTTTAGTATTTTGAAGTTTCTGTGTATTTGCTTTAATATTTATCTATGTATTTCCTTTATATGTTTGTATAATGTAGGCATGGTAGTTAAAACAACAATTACTGTTTGGCATAAATTTATCTGGTCCTTTGTTTTGTATTGGCTTATTTATTCAGATGTGGCTCATGTTAACACTGAAAGTCATCTTCCGTAACCTAAGACATCTGTAGGGAATTTCTTAGCTTAAATTTTTTTTTTTTTTTTAGCTTAAATTTTTATGTCATCTTTCATTGCAGTTTCTTTTGTGTGAAATCAATTAAGTGATAATGATTAATAGCTTTCAGATATAGATAGAGCTTTACTGATGATTCAAGCACCATAGGTTTAGGTCACTAGTGTAGCTGGGAAAGCATCTATTTGTAGAGACCAATTCTAGAGTGCCATGTGTATCTAGTGGGGCTGTTTTATTCGTTTGTGTGCTCTAGTACAGCGTGTACAGATGTCGATGCATTATGGTAGTGCTACTCTTTAGAAGGATCCGATTTAATCATAATAGTCCAGTTAGTGCACATTAGGATAAAATAAATATGACTGAAAATCAGTTGTTTCTATTATTTAATGCCCAGCTATCTGTTCCCTTTCAAGGAATAGTTATCCCTTTCATCAAGGTTGATGGACTTATTGACATGGAATTATTTTTTCCCCTTGATCATTTTATTGGGGCCCTTATAGATATTATAACAATCCACAAACTAGTTGCATCAGGCGAACTTGTACAGATGCTCCCATCATCATTTTCAAAACATTTTCTACTTGAGCCCTTGGAGTTATATCTAATAGTCATTGTGTTTTTCCTTTTCCTGATTGGTTACTCTGGACAGAAGTTGATCACTTTTCACTGATCTTCTCAGAAAATCCAGCTTTTTGTTGGTTTCTCTTCTGACCTCACTCCTGGTTTTCTGACTCAGTTCAGCCAGCCAAATGGCTGCTTTGCTGTTGCTTAAATTTTGTTACTAATTCTCTGTCTTTCATAGCGTCTTTCATAGTCTCATCATTGGAGTTCAGACCCACTGCTCAGTCTCTTGCCGATCATGCACTTGAGTGTCCCACAATGTCTTTTATATAAGGTTTCTTATATACAATGAGTGCTAATCCTCCATTGCTGTACATAACTTGTGAACTATTCATGAGCACTAGTAGGGTCCCAGACTTATTTGTCCTACCGCCTCCTTTTCAGGAAAAAAATTACTCCTCACTCCCCCTGGCAGTTAAAAACTTTTGTACTATAGCCCATAATCCAGGATAAAATGTCAGTGTCTGCTTTTGCAACCCCCTAGGTTGTTCCAGTGCCCCTCAGGGGTAGTGTTGCCCACTCTGGGAAAGACTGTTCTATAGGAAACTATATATTATAGGTAACTGCCTTTGTATTTATAAAATGGTGTTGTTTATGTCAGTTTCAGGATTAAAGTTATGCTCTGTAAAGATAATATTTTCTTAAGTACTGACAGTGAACCTAGGAGCCTTGTTTGATATTCCAGTGTTTTTCAAAAGTTTATTCTAGAATGGAATTTATTCATTTATTTATCCCTTGGGTAGGTGTCAGCATTAGTGACCATGTACAGCCACGAGGAAGATATTGACAGTGCCATTGAGGTCTTCACACAAGCCATCCAGTGGTATCAAAATCATCAGGTAAGTAAATGGAGTAAGATGTTAAGATGTTTTTGCATAAAAATGAAAAGCTACAGTAAAGATGAAAAACCCTTTACTGTCATTGAGTTGATTCTGACTCACAGCAACTGTGTAGGACAGAGTAGATCTACCCTGGGGGTTTCCGACACTACCAAGAAAGAAGAATGCTATTTACTGTCTCTGGTCAGATTCCTTTTTTAGAAGTATGTTGTATGTGTGCTGTTGAGTAGATTTGATTCATAGAGACCTTACAGAACTGCCCTAAAGGATTTCCAAGGCTACAATTCTTGGGAGCGGATCTTTCTCCGATGTGGCCACAGATGGTTTCAAACAGTTGACCTTTCAGTTAGCAGCCAAACACGTAATCATTGTACCACAGGAGCTCCTTTTTAATAAAGTTATTAAAAACAGTGAATTACAATAAATCCAATGATTGCAACGTGAAAAAAAAATTGTTCATTTTTTCTTCTGAAGCTACTTCATATGTGTGTATGGTCTCAAATATGCATGCTATTAGTCATGATTATATTCAGGAGTTCATCTATAGTAGCTAGAAAGTATGAGTAGGGAGAAATGGACGAATGATAGTTACTACATAGAATAATTGCATGTCATGTCTCTTAATAGGACATTTTAATTTTTTCCCAGTATAAGTCTCAGTGTAGATGGTATTGAAATTAAGATATTTGCACATGTACCCTGGTGGGATTTGTGCTGTTAGCACTGTTAACAGTTTAGGAACATCAGTGCTTTTGGAAGTGCTGTGTTAAATTAATGTTTGACCGTTGTGATTTGAGGGGAGTAGTTCTAGCTGTAGACAACTTGAAAACAGACGAGTTGTGTCCCAAATTCATAATTTGGTGATTACTTGTATTTGTCTCGCTGCTCTTTCCTTGTTTATGTGTATGAATTTGTTCTTATGTTTGCAGGAATACAATAAAACTTAACAACCAGGAATTTAGTGCATAGATACATTGATACTCTAAGGACTATAAAGTTATGAACTTGGTAAATACATGCCTTAAAATCCCCCCCCCCCCACCCTTCTTTTTAAACTTGTAGCCCAAATCTTCTGCTCATTTGTCTTTGATAAGAGAAGCTGCAAACTTCAAACTCAAATATGGGCGGAAAAAGGAGGCAATTAGTGACCTAGAACAGCTATGGAAGTAAGTGCCCAACCCCAAATGTAGCTAAAATAGAAGTCTGTGTTAAGGGTGTTATTTTAATACGAGGAAACGATTAATGCTTTTTATGTTGCGTTCTCCAGTTCTATGAACTGTTCAATAACTTTCTTATTTGTTCCTTTAGACAAAATCCTAAAGATATTCACACTCTGGCACAGCTTATTTCTGCTTACTCACTTGTAGATCCTGAGAAGGCGAAAGCGTATCCTTTCTGTTACTGGGAATATCTTCCATTACCTGTGTTGTGACTCGGGCTTTTCCTATTGTGAATTAAAGCAAGCAAGCAGAAGCTAAGTTCTGAGTAATAAAAGCAAAATTGAGAATTTATGGATTCCCACAAATATCGTGGTAGGTCTACTTGGGGTACAGTTTATTCCAGAAGCAAAAGTTATGTTAAGAACCAGAACAGAGTGTATATCCCTCCAGGTTCAAGTTCAATGGACATTGGGGAAGAGGATCTTATTTTATTTGTACAGTTGTGCATGTTCTGAAGTGCCATCTATTTGACATCTGAGTCACATCTCTTTCTGAATCAATTACTGCTCTGACTAAACCTGGAGGCATCTGATGGGAAGAGTGGGTGCTTAGCAGCCTCAAGTTCTAGCTTTGTCGAGAGCAAGTCTGTGTTTTCTAAGATTCATAGTTAGGCAGTGGAGGTTTTATTAAATGACTTCACTGACATGAAGTCTGCCACTGACTTTAGGAATAAGTGAGTAGAATATGACGCCTTCTTTTAAGAATATGTGGTGTTATAACTGATATGCTGACCTGTTGGTTGGTTATTCTGTAGAAGATTTAAGAACATTTTTTTGCTTTTGATGAAGGGCATCTCTTGTCTCTTTTCTACTGGTACTGTATTGTATTGCCAGACATGTGTGCATTATATTCCTGAACTCCTATTCTATCCCAGTCTTAGTAAACACTTGCCCTCGTCAGACAGTATGTCTCTCAGAGTCGATGTTGAGGCTCTTGAAAATTCTCCTGGTGCTACGTACATTCGGAAGAAGGGTGGAAAAGTTGCTGGCGATAATCAACCAAAGGAGCAAGGGTAATGTTTTCATTGTCACGTACTCTTAAGGCTGAGACCTAACGGTACTTCTTCAGAATCTATTTAAAATCCTATAAGGTGTAAAAATACATTCTCATAAAAATTCCATGTGAGTGAAGTTAAAGTTCTCTTTGTTTCTTTTCTCTTCCCTTTTTTGTGATGAGCCCTGGTGGCGTAGTAGTTGCATGTTGAACTGAAACCCGAAAGGTCAGCAGTTCAAAACCACCACCTACTCTTCAGGAGAAAGGGCTTTCTACTCCTGTAAAGAGTTAGTCTCGGAAACTCGCCAGAGCAGTTGGGTCCCTATGAGTTGGCAGTGAGTTTGGTTTTGCTGTGTCCAGCTTAGATTCCCCCTCCACTGGCACACAATTAACCGCTGATATTTAGTGGATACCCTTTCAGATCTTTTTCCTTGTATTTATACTCAGGTTGTCTAGAAATGTTTTCCTTAGATTGGTGTGTTTTTTCCTTTTGACCTAACTGGACTTATCTTTTATTTCCTGCTTCCAACCTGCTTGCTATCACTTCACCTCAGAGATCACTCCATGTTACTAAATGTAGACATATTTTCTGTACATATATTCTGTATGCTGGATGCATACTACTGTATTTACTTAGAAGGTAGTGATGGTCAGTATTTCTGAATCAAAATTCAGGTGGCTTATTTTGGAGGAAAGCTTCGCCAGCTTTATAACTTAATAAGCGCAGTATAGCTCTGATGTAACACACATTTTACTGCGGGCTTATATAGGATCACAGGGAATCAATCAACTTGCCCGCAATGGTTTGAGTT